TGAATAGTGATTCACGTATAGTGAGACATCCGTATGGGCCCCCAGGATATCAGTAGGTAAATAAAAAGAAAATTATGCTATCGTTCACTTGAAAATGAGATTGAGATGTTATTAAATTATTATATATGTATAAATCGATTTTAAAAATCTCGTAACAGTAAATATATGCAATAAATGGTTTTTCTTATGATAAATGAATTTATATAAATTAAGAACTCAATTGGTTGTTTTTATGATTTTTACCAATTTTTAATTTATATATCGATGAGTAGTATGATATTCTTACTAGGTTAGTGTACTTCACCATTTCATTGACTATTTCAGATCAAGAAAATCAAGACCTAGATCCCGATCAACAAGAGGGTTGTGAATAAGTTCACAACCTAAACTCCCTTCAGAAGCTAGTGAAGGTCGTCATAAAATGGTCAGTTATTTGTCTTTTATTTATTTATTTATTTTTCTTTTATTCTTTTAAAAGAAATATTTCCGTATCCCTATTAGACATTCTAAATTATTCTGTAAAAAATGTAAATTTTAAATTTTATTATTTCACTTCCGCATTTAATTTATATTTTTATTACTTTTAAGTTTCGGGCTTTTACAATACTAATGAAAGACTTTACTTAATTAAATTACAAATGGATTTATTCAATATTGCTTTATACACACTCCATAATAAAAGAAGCTCGGACCAAGTATTATATTGATATCATACAAAGATTGATATAATCTTGTCTCTTCATTGCATATAACATATGCCTAGATATTACAACAAAAAAAAAAAAAAATTTATAGATATCAAGAAATAAAGGAGATCATGTGCTAATTAAGAGTTAGGACATATGATCACTTAGCTTTGAATTCAATGGAGAATTGCATCGGAAGTTGGAGCTATTACAAAAGAAAAAAAAAAGTTAGTGCTTTGATGTTTAAATTATTCCATGGAAGAAAGATAGTGGGTGAGACTTTATTGAGTTCAAAATGGAGTATCCAACTTAAACAAGGACAATCACCGCAGAATATTAGCAAGTTCAAAATTAAGTGGAGAAACCCTAATTTGGCATATACCCAATACTAATAATTATGAGCAATCCATCACATATTATTCCCTCTCTTAATATTCTTATCCATCGATACATAAGCAAATTATTCTCTATTATACAATTATATATATGCCTGTTGTGTTGGTGACTCCATCATAACTCAATATATTGGGAATTTTATTTTTTTTTCCCTTTATTTGTAAATGCCTTTTTTATTACAAAATTACAAAAACTAATTGGATTCTTACTCCATCCTTAATTAATTCTTTTTCTATCAATATGTAATTCTATTTCTCTTGGATGAAAATTTAGAAGTAATTCTATTTCTTCTAAATCAACATAATAATCAAATACAATAAAATAAAAAAAAAACAATGATCAAATCAGTGGATAACCATTTTGTTTAAATTAAAGCAAAAAATTTCCATGTCTCTACTTTTTTTTTTTTTTTGGTAAGAACATGATTATTATTATTAATGATGATAAATTTGAAAATGGATAAAATAAAATTAAGGGTAGAAAAGAAAAAAGAAAGTAACAATAGGAAAAGGGTAGTATGATGACATGAATGAAATTCCTCGTCAATGAAATCGAGAACTTTTTATGTTTGAGGATTTGGATGGGATTGGAAAGCAAAAGGCCATGGCTTACCCGGATAAGATGGTGGGGCTTGTCTCTCCATCATCTCTTTTCTCTTTTCTTTCACCATTTATTCTCTTACCCAATCTACCATTAAATCTTTACCCCCCCCCCCTCCCCCTAAAGTTTTACATTTAAATTATCATTTTAATCAATTAACACCGACTTATTACGTTTTATTATTATTCTTAAACTCTCTCTCTCTCTCTCTATTAAATATTAAATATCAAATAGTTCAAACCTTGACCCGTCACCGTGGACAACGCCGAGTATGCCAGTCCAAGACTCCAAGCTGCCAACATCTGACGTCTTTCCACGTGGACCTCTCACCAGTTTCCGAGGTCTGGATGCCTGTGACCATTGGCTTACATAATATCCAAATCCAATCTCCATTTCCCCTTTTTTCTTATGTATATATATATATATATATATATTTTATAAATAAGAAATATGCGTTTAAGTAATAGTATATATACCAGGCCGTTACAAATGTCAACTTGATATTAAATTGACTCAACGTAGAATAAGTTAGTTGGGGAAGTGAGAGACGGCCTGTTTGAGTAAGACCCCTTGTGCTTTATTTGAACCCTGCTGCCTTCCCATTCTCTTCCTTCCCATCTGTATAGATAGAGACTTTTGTTTCCCTCTCCCTCTCCTTTCTTATCTTCCATTATTGAATATGGGGAATTGCCAGGCCATAGACGCTGCAGCTCTGGTCATACAGCATCCGAGTGGAAGGATTGACAGACTCTACTGGCCTGTTACAGTCAGTGAGGTCATGAGAGCAAATCCCGGTCATTATGTATCCTTGATCATCCCTTTGCCTGTTTCACAATCAGAGCAAGAAACTCAGGATCAGGAGCAGAAAACTATACGGTACACACGTGTCAAGCTTCTTAGACCGACAGATACTCTCGCTCTTGGCCATGCTTACAGGCTTATCACTTCTCAAGGTTTGTGTAACCTCTTACCTCTCTACTTCGGCTGTTTACTCTATCTACCTATCTTTTTCTCGGAGGCCAACAAGTACTCATTCTGATTCCTCTTTTTCTGTTCGCAGAGGTTATGAAGGTCTTGCACGCAAAGAAGCACGCGAAGATGAAGAAACAATCTGAATCTGTACGTAAACAACAGTCAACAACAGATGAGCAGAGTTCAAGTGATCAAGCAGCACAAAACTCATCCATGGAAAAGGCCCACCAGGTACATATATCTTTCAAGACTTTCTGCATAACAAAGATGAGAGAGAGAGAGAGAGAGAGAGAGAGAGAGGAGACTGACGGATTTGGGGGGGGGGGGGGGGGAGGAGATTGAAATTTAATCTAATTATCCATAACTGCACAAGTTAAAATATGATTTCCTTGCTTATGGGAGTTAGTTCTTCTTCTCAAACGACTCAATTGGCCAAACGAAACAGATAATGATTTTCTCAAAAAAAATTTCTCTTATGGCAAATTTCTCTTGCCATAGATGAGGTTTCCTTCAACACCAGTGCCATCCTTCTGCCTGTGAAAATGCAACCTTGGTTACCTGTAAAAGAGAAATTTAGGAATTAAACCAGTAAAGCAACAATTTTAACTGTGTAAAAGTTAAATAAATTAATGATATTTTCATTACTTCATTTTACCGGGCAACTATCAACCACATTGTCTTACATGTTAACCTGTCAAACATTTCAGCCACAGAAACAGGAAAGACACCGTCCAAGAACTGCATCCACAAACACTGCTTCCACAAGACCAAAATCGTGGCGGCCCTCATTGCAAAGCATCTCTGAGGCTAGCATGTGATGGTGCTTTCAAGCTTCAGTTTCAACATTCAAAGTGATCCTAGAGATGTGCAATGATCTGCCTGTTCTTCTACCGGTGATCTTCATAAATGAACTCGAGCATGGAATATATATTCACTAAAACCATAGAGTTCAGGGTGAAGATTTCTGTGTCATTGCCGATCACAGCTTCCAAATGCAAACTTCTTTAAAAATAAGACATCTGTATAGCTTCAAAGAAAAAAGGAAAAAAGAAATGCACCTTACATTGCATTACAAATAGTTTTTGCCATTAGATTTTTCAGTCACCATATATTTCGTGAGTACTAGATAATTTACTTGAGGAGTGGAAATTAAGACCATCTTAATGCCAAAATACATGGATGGGGAAATTAGATTAGATTGTCTGAATTCCAAACTTCCCAGTCTTGATCAACAAATTTTTGAGCCCATAACAGTGATGCTCGAGCAGCGACAGCTGCTCCAGATAATTTCCTTTCTTTTAAAGCAACCAACATATCAGTGAAAGGCTCCACCAGTAAGGTTCCAGGTCCTCCGTATTCCTTGTGCAGGAAATCACTGAATATCTGGTTCCAACGTAACAGATTAGTTTTTTTCATGAGAGATTACTACGTTTCTATTAGAAATGAACATGCTTTGTGCTTAAAAAGCATAACAAGGACAATCGCAGCACTGGGCCAAAAAATGCACAAAAAATAAAACTAATATGATAGAAGCTGTCCGAAAATTGGTAATTTCTTTCTTCTGGAGCATGGAAATCCTGTGGGCAATGCAGGGCATGTTCTAGCATTGAATCCTTTCCAAGTTGACAAGTTGACGAAAACCATACTTCCTACAGAATTTATGTTTGGGTTGCGGACCACTGGCACTGGAAGGGTGGAATTGTGCAAATTCCTCCATTTAAAAAAAAAAAATCTAAAATTAAGGTTTTTTCTTGTTGACAAAGACCCATTCTCAACCTGTTGTATGGCCCATAAGTTATAGGGGGAAAGAGGGGGAGAGGGAGGGGAAAACAAGTTGGACTTTTCTCCCTGGAGTGATGATGATGTGCTTGGTTCATTAAACTTAAGATAAATTAGAGATCTGAAATTGGATATACACGAGGAAGATGCAAAAAATCAAGACTTTTTTAAGCTCAGCTATATCTCCGGAACTCAAGACAACCATCCATTTTAAAACAAGTGATTTTCTTCTTTTTTTTTTTTTTACTTCTCCCAAGAACAGTTATGCCTACTTTATCAGGACTAATGAATTTAAATTCTACAGCAGTCCCTTCTACATACAGCAAGTGCTAGTAAATAGCCAGAGAACCACTCTACAATCTTCTTTTGATTTTCCTTCCTGGAATCGCTTTATAACCATATTCCTTACTGCTAGGATCGCTCACCCTACCTTAGGCTTCAACATTCCTTAGAATCTAAAACTAGAAAAGCTAAAGCTAACCAATTTTTCTTTGAAGTCCAACATAGGCATATTACACATTTAAGGGGAAGTAGAGTCGTTTTAGCTAGTAATAAAGGTATAAACAAACTGTTCTCAATTTTTATGTAGACTGCATCAGCAATTTGTTTATAATGCTTAGGCATGTCTCTTCTTATTGCTGGTACGTTTTTGTATATGCTCTAACTAATTTTGGAACCGAGGCATACGTAACAAAAAATACTATAAGCATTTATGATTTCCAGTTTACTAGAAATAGATAATATTGTCACCATATAAAACCAAGAATACCCTCTTCACATGTTTAGATTTCCTTCTTCTTTTGGTTCAAATAATAGGAAGAGATTTTACCAATTGAGCCAAATGTCTTTGGCTTGTTTGTATTCCATTCAATTCAATGAAAATGTATAAAAAAATTATATGAGAGAATATTCCAACTGATAGTATGCATTAATTGGAGTTACATAGTGTATCTAGATTTATCAGCTTAACAGTTGGACTTGGAAGTGGTTGGACTAAAATCGAAACACCCATACTGACATGAGACAAAATGGAAATATTAATTAAGTACAATGTACATTCAAGCCTAGGACCACATATTGTATTGATACTAAATATCAATGAGCACATTCAAACACAATTAAGCTGGTCATAGCTAGATCATAATGGTATTGTTGCTAACGTAAATGCAATAGTTTCTACTTTAGTGTAAAGACACTGACTATCTGTGCATAAGGATAAGTGTTGAGTCTGAACCCTACATTCCTTGAAAGTTGAAATGTCCACGAGAAAATATTCATCATTTCTGACTAAAAACTCCCATTTCCCATATCTTCAAATGAAATCTACAGACTCCTTCTTGGTCCAGAATAAGAGAAGAGAGATATAGAGAGGGAGAATTTGCATGCTCTAAACAATAAAATTTGAATATAATTCAAACATAAAGGCAAAAACTTGAAGAAAATAAAGTTCTGCCACCTCAAATTTCTTAACGACACAATTATGATAATAATTTCATGTCAAATATAGAGACATATTTGACATGTATGATAAAGAAAAGGAAATAACATTATTTATGATAATGCCCTATCTGATGTCTAAATTCCTAATTGTCACACTAAGATGCAAGCAGTGTGCTGCAAGAATCTTCATATGCACAGAAAATTATGCTAAACAGAAAGGGGCTTCTGTATAATGTCAATGATGCTCCGCTAGAAAAAAAGAAGCCAGTGTACAGTTAGAATACAAACACCAGAATCAGTAGTCTGAGCCTATTTGATGAAAATAGTTCAATAGTGTAACACGCAGCAAACAGCCTTCTAAAAGAAAAGTTCAACTGATTCTGCAGTTTGGCTGAGAGCTATTTTACTAAAGATTAAAGGCAAAGAATATGCTGCAAAAGGAAATACTTTCAGTGTGAAACTAAGACTTCGTTTGGCATATAATTTTTTCTTAACTTCCATTCCTACATTCACATATATTTATAATTAATAATAGTATGTATATGTATAGTAGATCAGATATAAAACAAAAAATAATTTCTCGAAAATACTAAAACAACTTGGTATACTTTCCACTTACTGAAATCTCTTTTACCAAAAAACTAGATAAGGTAGAACTTTGTTGATAAGTGAATCAAAACTTCAATCAGACATTTTCTCAAGTACTTGATGCTCAAGATTTTACACACATATCCAATCCTAAATTTAATGGTCCACCCCACCAGATAAACCCATATAAAAATCCTCTGGACCACAAACCAATGACACGGCTAATTATAAGATGTTTCTTGACCACAAAGAGAAGTGACACGATTCTGTTCCAGCTTATTTGCAAACTGACTTCAACAAAAGTTTCTTTCCGATACAGAACAAGCAGCATCAACACATTTATAATCACGATTTCTCTTAAGTAATTAATTTCACTTTCTAGATCAAAGCACCTGATTATCAGTGAAATATATTTCATGTTCCAATATCTAGTTAAGACTGTTTGCCAAACTAGAACACCAGCATATCTCATAATAAATCATGAGAAATGAGAACCCCCCCAAAAAATGACCACAAATAAATTTAATACGAAGCAAAAATTTGAAAGTGAAAAAGTTACCTGTGCACAAACCTCGACGACAGTATGAAGCTCATCACCAAATGTCTCCTTGTCATTTGAGAGCTTCTTCCAAAGCTCAGCCTTGAACTTCTTAGTCTCCTGTTAATCAAATGTAATTAAGCAACAAAAAGTATACATACAATTAGATACACATAACAAAATTCTATATAGAGGAGTGTGTCGTTGATACATTTACACTTACAGCGACTGCAAATTCGGGGATAGGATCAGGATAGGCGTATTTATGGGGACGATAAGCTCTGAGCGGCAGTGATAAGCGCCCTGCGGAAATGGACTTAGAAGAAAATGTGGAGGAAAAGAGAGACGGGAAGGGAAATGGAACAGGGTACAGAATAACGAAGGGCGTGCGCAGGATAGGCGAGATGGAGGAGATTGATGTTTTGGCGGGAGTTGGTAGACAGGAGATGGAAGCCATTGGGGTGAGCTTGTGACAGACCCTCACAAATTTTTTTGCTTAAGGTTGGGATCCAATTGGACCGTATTATTTTTTCTGTTGGCCCAGTTTCATAAAAAGACCCATTATGGAATTTAAACATTTTTAATTATAGAAAAATTACTGTGAATTATTAAATTAGTTCTTAACATTTGGTATTTATTGTAATATCCACCTAAAGAGAAAAAAAAAAAGAAGAAAAGAAATGTAAATAAAGAATAAGAGTGGAGTTTGATGTAAATGAAAGAAAATTTCAAAATTAGGGAGCTTTTAATTAATTTCAGAGATTTAAATGAAAGTAGATAAAAAAAATAGGGTAAAACATAAATAAGGGGAAGTGGAAGGGGGCAAAGGAAATCAGGAAAATGGATGGCCTAGATTAGACCGTTGGAGGAGATCAGATGGAGGAGATTTAAAAGAAAACGAACGGCCCAGATCGAGTTTGTGAGATCCAATGGCTGGGGGAACAGGTATAAAAGGGAAAGAGATTAGAGATTTTCTTCATTTAGAAGAGAAGCCAAAAAGAGAGAGGGAGAAGGAGAGAGGCGGTTGGGGAGAAAAGGAAGAAAGGGTGTTGCGCAGGGAAGCCGAGAGAGGAAAGAAGAGAGAGGCCGGAAAGGAAGAGGGGAAGGGAGAAGAAAAGAGAGGAAGGGAAGAAAAAGAGTGTGGCCAAGTGGGAAGAGGAGGAAAGCTGAGAATGGTTGCGCAAGGGGGAGGAGAAGAGAGAGAGTCGCATAGGCAGAAAGCCGAAGAGAAGAGAAGGAAGGGAAATCGCGACCAAGGAGCATCGTATGACGGTGGAATCCAAAATCAAGGTTGTTCAAATTTTTCAAGCATCGCACTCGAGCCAGGTGCATTCTTTTTCCTCTTTTGGTGCGTGTTTTTTACCAAACCGGTATTCATGTGTGTGTGTGTGTGTGCAGGTTTAGAAGCTAGAGAGATGCGGGGTGACCGAGATAAGACGACTGGGAACCAAGCCGAGGCTGAATCACTCGAATCGAAGCTAAAACCATTATGCTTTCGTGTTTTGGTGGTGGTTTGAGCAGCGGTGGAGCAGGACCAATGTCGGCTGGTCGCATGGGCTCGGCCGAGCCACCCACCCACATGGGAACCAAGGAGGTTCCCTTAGGAATGGGGAAACCCACCCACCGTGGAAGCTGAAGAAATGGAGGCCAGAATCGCCCTTTTGGGATTTCGATTCATTGTTCGGGAAGCTGAAAAATCTCCCTTGAAAACGAAAATATGATCCTCCGAATAAGGAGCTGAAGGTTTTTCCGGTTACGAATCCTGATAATTTTAGATATTCCGTTGGGTGGCCATTGGAACCTGTAATTCGATTAAATTAATTTTTAGTATTTTGAAGTATTTTAATTAATTTATGTCGTGTGTACAGAAAAATTTAGATATTCGAGCAGATCCGAGAAGACGCATAAGAATGTAAATATTTCTAAATCTCAACCGAGTTTGAATTTCAAAAAAATGCATGCATTTCATTAAGTTATAAATTCTGAAATTTTAACGAACACTGATCCAATTTTTGATAAAAAATAGAACCCAAATTTATGACCAATGAACCTAAGAAATTGTAAATTTATGAGAAGACGAAACCAAAAAACAAACACAAAAAACTGAGAATTTATTGGACTGTGATGAGATATGAATTGAGTAATTAAGAGAAATTCCTAATTAAGTGAAAAATTGAAAAAGAAAAAGAAATAAAATAAGAAAGTAAAAATAGAAAAAAAAAAGAAACAATTATGGTGGTAAAATGATCAGTTAAATAAAATTTTAGAGAAATTAGAATAAGAGTAAAATAAATAAGAAATCAAAAGTGAGGAGTTATGAATAATTAGAGTATGAACCTTAAATGCCCTTTCATTTAGTCCGAATCGAGGAGCCGAATGTGTGTGTTGCTGAAGTTCAGCGGATATGGTGAACTTGCACATGGATAGAGTTTGAAACCTAGTGTAAGCGTGAAAAGGTATTTGTGAGTGTGGGTCACATAACAAACGTCCCTTCTGCAGCATTATAAGATTTGTGTGTGTGTACTATCCACGCGATGAAGGGATCCATTTCGCCTCTCCTCGATACGATGTAAACGACATCATGCGATAAAAACTTTAAACATGACCTTTTGAGTGTATATGTGATCTTTCGTGTATATGTGATTATGTTTCAAGATGATGATTGATATTCGAATGTATCTATGTTCTTTCGAGAGTATATGGATATACATTTGAGGATTGTATATGATATTTGAGATAATTCAGAAATTTGATCAGAAGCATGTGAAATAGTGAAAATAATAAATGAATTTTGCATTGAAACATCACTGTTGCATTTTTCTTATACTGTGTGTTTTGCATGAAATTTTATCTAAGTTGAGAGAACAAAAATACTTATTGAGTTGGTGAAGCTCATTAAATTTCACCCTGATATTTTTCAGATGAGAAAGAAGAGACAGAACCGCTGCCAGACGAGTAGAACCTGTAAAAAAGATTTTTATTTTATATATTTTGTGCATATTCGAGAAGTTTTATTTTGTCATATTAAACTCTAAATTCTGATATCATGTTTTGTATATATAGTTACTGTACATATCACATGGGATGCTAGGTTGTATTATATTTTTTTGATATAAGTATATGTATATTTTGTGAGCCCACTGCATAAAAATAACATGAGCAGAAATTGAGCCTCATATCGAGTATCGGAGCGTGATAGGTGGTATCAGAGCCCACATTCCTAGAATCATCCTCTGTGTATGAGGTTTTAGAGTTTAAATATGATATTTTTTACAACTATTGGGGTGTTGAGAAGTATGAAACGTTATTTTGAAATGTTTTAATTCATTCTTTTCTGAATAAAGGGTTGTAAGATGATATGTGAACGGACTCCACCGGAGCAACCTCCCAATTATATGTCCTTACATGAGCATATTGACCAGTTGTACCACATGGTAGAGAACCTTACTAACCAACCTTGAGAAGGAATACTTGGCCCTCTTCTAGTACCGGCTCCATAAAATTCAGAACCAATTGTTATGGATCT